TACTACCACCCTAGTAGACATGTCTTGCAGTCTCCAGAAAGGCTAGAGAAGATGAGCTTAGCTTTGTTGATCTTAACTCTCTTCTGAGTAATTAAAGAAATGTGGGGTACCCTAACTTTTGAGATTGCAGTCATGCAAAATGACTAGATCTTATCTCTTGTCATTGGACTGGATGGACATGAGTATCAACCAATATGTTGGTTTTTATGTGAACAGAAATACTAGCCATACTTCTGGCTCACTGGCCTCTGTTGAATTCTTACATGCTTTAGTCAATACTAAAGCTGAGTGAGATAAAATAACTCATCCAAGCAAGTAAAAAGTAGAGCAGAATTAGAAACAGCAAATTAAAATGGGGGTTGAGGGACTCTGAAATCAAGGCATGAAAAAAAAATTCCAAGAGGGTAGAGCACAATCTAGGATCCTTGGTGGTGCAGTGGTTGAGTGCTGGCTGCTGACTGAAAAGTTGGTGGTTCAAACCCACCAGCTACTTCGTGGGAGAAAAGACCAGGTGATCTGCTCCTGTAAAGATTACAGCCTAGGAAACCCTATGGGGCAGTTCTACTCTGTCCTGTAGGTTCACTGTGAGTCGGAATTGACTCGATGGCACACAACAAGAGCATAATCAAAACAAGTATTTTGAGGCACTTGCGTGGAAAAATGTGATATTCTAAAGAAGAAATTAGAACACTGTAGGTATAAAACAGCCACAAATCTTTACCCCAGGAAGAAGTTAGATCTGAAGAAAGCTAAGGAAAACACAGTAAGTAGGAAGAATCTTATTATATCCAGGAAGAGATACTTTCTACTGTTTGATGACTCCCTGATAATTGGTATACACCCATGACTGAGCACTTGATGAGATATACCATACAACTGATTGTGTTCTGCCCCTTTGAGGAGAAAAAGAAATATATAGAGAGTAAACATTTACTACGTAGAAGATTTACTAAACACAATTTTTTCCCCCTGGACTGGGACATATTATAGTAAAAATTGAACTTCAGATAAGAAGTGGAGTAGGATATATCTTAGAAGAATATGTTTGGTAGGTAAACCACCAACCTGATCTTTATACTGGAATATACAGGAAGGAGATGCAAACATGCAGAAATAATTACAGTAGAGAACAATACTGTGATATAGAGAAAGACAAAGAACATAGGGAAGGAGGTACCCCGTAATTCTCAAGGAAATTCTCAAGGAAAAACATCAGAGAGGTGGAAGATGGTTTGAGGAATCATACTAAATGTCATAGTGTTTGTATACCAGTATATAGTGTATGGAAAACATACCGCTTAACTAAGAGCCTAGACTCAGGTGTCAAGTATACTGGGGTTTGACTCCCATCTCCAACAATTACCAACAATGTGACCTTGGACAAGTTACATTTTCTCATCTACAAAATGAGGATGAAAATAATGGTACTTATCTCACAGGGTTGTGACACGAATTGATACAGTGTATGTAAAGTGGTTAGCCGATGTCTGGCATGTAGTAAGTACTGAAAAAATGTTGGAGATCATTATTTTTGTTGTTACTATGATGATTATTGTTATCATCATTATTATTATCATTACTATTACGTAAAATCTTTAACACAGTTTGGTTAATAAAATCTAATGTGTGTTATATTCCCAAGTTGGGATCTACGACTAATAATGAAGCGATAAAGGTGGATGTGCTCTTTAAGAGGAATAGCTCTACAAGTAGGGAAGGGAGGGTTCCCTATGTGTAAAACTACTATGCCTACTTGGAAATCAGTTAACTTGAAGAAGGCATAGTGGAAATCATTTGGATGAGGATAAACGAAGTTATAGAAATGATGTCATTGTGGACATATATAACTAGCCTAACAGAATGTTTCTTACTAAAATAAACATTACAAAACTAGAACAGATTTAAGATGTATTTGTCATAAGAGACTTCAGCAATTTAGAGACGTGCTAAGTGGATTTACTTGTCTGGGACGAGTTTCATTGCCCAGAAGATTGTGGAAGCAATAAGTAGAACTGTTGGCAAAGAATAATGTGGATGTAGGAGTGATGGGAAGTTTAGAAAGAATTTATAACAGCAAAGCAAAGTAATACTAAAAAAAACATGAACTAGATTTAGGAAAGAGGATTTTTCTTTTCCTTTAATTCGAAGGAAAAAAAGCTATCCTGTGGTTGAAAACTGAAGAAGAAATAAAAAAGAAGCTCTATTTTTCTAGAAGGCATGGCTATGTGATTATGCTTTTATGAACTGGATAGGGCCAGTAGTTTCATGCTAGAGAACTTTTTCTCAGTTGAAAATAAATTTACTGAAACTCTTAGCCTTCCCTAGCCTTATCCCCTGCCACTTCCTCCCTCACAGTGCACACACACATGTTCATTTTAAATTCCAGTAGTGTCAGACTCCTCTCTGACCTTATCTCCTCCTATTCTCCCCCTTGGTTACTCTGCTTCAGTCACACTGGCCACCTTCCTGTTCCTCAGACACACCTAGGCAGTCTCCTGCCTTAGGGCCTTTACACTGGCTGTTTGCTTTGCCTGGAATGCACCTCCTCCAGATGCTCATGAATAACTAACTCTCTCACCTCCAAGTCTTCTTGATGAGACTTGTCCTGATCACCTTCTTTTAAATATTGCTACCTCCACCCAGGCCTCCCGATCTACCTCACACACACACACACACACAGATACACACACACACACACACACACACACACACACACACACACACACACACGACTTAGCTCTCTCTAACATACTAAGTAATTTGCTTATATACTTTTGGTTTATTGTTTTTCAAGAGGGCAGGGATCTTTGTTTCTTCTGTTCACTGATTTATCACAAATGTCTAGAAACAGTTTGCTGACACATAGTAGGCCCTCAGTAAATAACTGTTGAATGAATGAATGGTTTCATTCACATACATTCTGTTTTATGACTTTATATCTTGCTTATTTTTTTTCTCCTGTGCTGAAATGGCCTTCTTTCCCTCCCCCATCACTTGGCCAGTTCTTTTGAGTTGTAGGACCCTATTTATGTGTCAGCTTTTTTGTGAAATCCACTGGGATTAATTGTTCCTTTCTCGATACTTTTTATTTTGTACATACTAATATAGCTCATATTGTAATTATTTGAATATATGTCTGACTTTTTTGAGTTCCTTAATAGCAGGAACCAAGTCTTACTTACCTTTATTTTCCTGGTACTAAGGATGAAGAGTGGCTAACACATAATAAGCACTCCAATTTTTTTTTCTTGAACTGAATGTCAATATGAGAAAGGATATAAGAAGAGTTTAAAATGGCTGCTCAGTAACTATTTCAGTTTTAAGCTACCTTAATAAAATTCAGCGTCCAGATCCAGGGAGGCAGTGAACCCACTGATACCTTCACTGATCGGATCAGATCAGCAGTATTGTGTTTATTACTGGGATACCATGTTTTAGAAAATGGTATTGACAAACTAATAAAATGCAAAGAAGATAGTAATTGCTGTCGTATCAGGATTGATAGAGAAATGGAAAGCTTAGCTAAGGGAAACAAGTCCTTACCTGTCTTCAGATATTTAAAGGGCCACAATATTGAAGAATTAGTAGTGTATATTATAGTGTTTTAAATTGGAAACCTCTGAGAGGATTACAGCCATAATAATAATATTTTTAATATTGGCTGTTTTGAATGTAGCAATGTATATATGTATATGACATTTTAAAAATAAAAATAACAAATTATTAATTTTCTCAGATTTCCAAGGCAATGCCTCTGTTCCTTGATTATGTCAAATTTTACTATTATGATATTATTCCATTGGCTTATTGATGGCTTAATCAGAATATTCATTGAATACATTTAATCCATCTGCAGAGATTTCATTTGCTGTGGAACTCAGTTAATTGTTAAATTTTGAAATAATCTTGGAAAGTGTGTGTGTGTGTGTGTGTGTGTGTGTGTGTGTTTTAGATTAGAAACCTTAAGTTTCTTTAGTTCCAAAGACATTTTTCTTTAAAAGTTTATTTCTACAAATAAAGATAAAAATATGGAGTTCTTTTTTTAAATCACTGAACTCATTTATTACCATACTGATAAAGTAAGAACAGAGTTTCCCATTTTGCTTAATTATCTGTAACAGTTTTGGCTTATTTTAGGTAGGCTTTTGCCTTCCAAGGAAGAACTCAGTACTGAAAAAATAAGTATAAAGCAGATTAGGTTTAATGAGAATTTAGACTTATTTCAATATGTATGTGTATCTGTGTACACAGGAGCCACCACAAAGTTCTTCGGAAATAGCTTTATGTCTGAATTGTAAGAATTGTATAGAAAGCTTCCAAATATTTATCTGTATTGAAGGGATTTGCCTTCAGATTCTTTTTGTAAGAGTTAAGGTGACCTTAGTGTACTCTGTACTTGGATATGTGGTTGATGCATGCAATGGGTGGTTTTGGGACTTTAGAATAACCAACTCATCTCAAAAATTTTTATTAACTTTCATTCATACTTTTTTTTTCCTTTGTTAAATTTTTAGTTACTCTTCCACACCTTAGATATTTTTATCAGCAGGACACAGATGATATATTTTTATGGTTGAGTACTTTGGGGGGGGTCTTGACATTTACTGGTTGCCTACTCTATGCTGAGTGCTGTGCTTGGCTTCTAACTTTTATGATCTCATTTAGTATATGTAAGGATATTACATAAAGGCCACTGCTAACTAAAAATAAAAAAGTTAATGTTTTTAAATGTAACTTTATTTACTGTGCTCTAATTTCAGGACAGTTAAGATATATAGTCCATGTTATACTAAACATCATTTTGTGTAATAAGGAAAATAATTTATCTCAGTTGTATGGATTTAAAGCGTACAGCAATATTTTCTTTTACCTTCATTTAAGAAATAGTAAACTAATGAAAATTTTATTTAAAACTTTTTGAAATTTTGCACTAAAGCAATCTAAGCATAATGTAAAGAAAAAGACAGTATATTAAAGTTTCTTCGTTTTCCTAAACCTAGGATGGTAAGCGGATGTTTGGCACCTATTTTCGTGTTGGTTTTTATGGAACAAAGTTCGGGGATTTGGATGAACAAGAATTTGTTTACAAGGAGCCTGCAATAACCAAACTTGCAGAGATATCTCACAGACTGGAGGTGAATGCTGTGGTGGTTCATAAAGTGTCATCTTTAATTTGTGTTCTCTATGATGAATAGATTTACACATCCAGATCTAATCGTTTAATAAGCCAAAATCTTGCCAAATGAACTATTCCCTTAGAGGATATGAATTTTGATAGGTACAATCATACCCTTCTAATATCTCTTATGGCAACAGTAAAGTAATTTATTATTTTGAGGCTCTATTTTCACACATATTTTAGAAATCCATGTATCCCTCAGAATTCCTGTGATTTATGGAGAAATGTATAGTATTAGTCACATATTAGAGAAAAAGGCATAAAGAATTAAGTAGCAGCTAATGATGGAACTAGAACTGGAACCCCAAGAAATTTCTGACCAAGTGCTTAACTCTGGCTTAACTGGTTCCCAGTGAGATGACTTTAGAACTTAAAAACCTGAAATCAGACCTTAACACCTCTTAGAATCCCTTGACCTTTATAATGTCTTAATTTTCACCATAAATGATTGGTGTTCATATTTATCAGGCTAACCAATCTTTTCTGTTATAGTAATTCTTTCAAGCTGTTTTCTATTCTTGCTACTTAGTGTGGTCTGTGGAACAGAAGCATTGAAATCACCTGGGAGGTTGTTTGAAATGCAGAATCTCAGGTCCCACCCCAGACCTTCTGAATCAAAATCTGCATTTTAACAAATCCTCAGGTGATTTGTGTTCACATGAAAGTTAAAGAAGCATTGTTTTTATTCTCAGCTAATGTTTATTTCTTGAATGTTATATTCTTATATAACATTCAACTTTCATAAATAGGCTAAACTGTGGCCTTTGTTCTAAGAGGCGTCTTAGTTTCCTTGGGCTGCCATAACAGAATACCACAAAGTAGGTGATACCACAAAGTAAGTGGCTTTAAAGAACAGAAATTTATTGTCTCACAGTTCTGGAGGCCAGAGGTCGAATTCAGGGTGTTGACAGGGCCATATTCTCTCTGTCTGCTCTAGGGGCAGATCCTTCCTTGTCTCTTCCAGCTTTTGGTTGTCCTAGGTGTCTCTTGGCATTCCTTGCCTTATAGATTGTATCTTCATGTGGTGTCTTATCCCTGTGTGGCTCTATCTGTTGCTCCCTTTTATAAGACACCATCAGAAGGGATTGGGACTCACCCTATTCTGGTGTGATCTTAACTGATAACATATTCAAAGAAAGACTTTATTTCCAAACAAGCACAGGGATTAGGCCCTCAACATATTTTGGGGATTAGGGTGCACAATTCAATCCAAGGGGCTAGGTAGGTCTTGAGAAATATTCATTAAGACAGTGTTTCCCAAACTTACCCAGTCATAAAAATTACCTTGAAGGTAGGGGTTCTCTTTTGAAGATTTGAGTTTCATTTTTCCTTTTGAATAGCTCTACCCATGCCCAACCTCCTACATAGTGTCATATGGAAAAGTTATTATGTTCTGACATCAGACCACTTTTTAGGCCTAGGGTTGTTCTTTCAAAATCTAAACCTATATAAAATCTTAAAAGATCGATGCATGTAATTGAAAACTCTGGAATGTTACGTTAAATCATTAATGAAAATAATATTGATTGACCCATGGTCTACAAGAAGTGAGGCCACAGTAAATTCAATAAAAGTGCGATCCTGTACATGAGAGATAATGAGTTTGTTTTGTCTTTGCTTTCTGTTCGCTTTTTGTTTTTCTTGCGGAACTCTTGTGAAATCTGGAATTCATATTGGAAAAAATTGTTATTTAATTATATACTGCGTTATTTAAAGTGAGTAGATGATGATCATATCAGATAAATGTGGACTGAGACCATGCTAACTTGATAGACTAAAATTTTTGTGAGCCTAATTAATTATTATTTTGAATTATTAGCACGGGCATACAAGAACTTACTAAATGCCCTAAGTTTGCTCAAGAGTCTTCATCAGAGGCTTTCTCTGTTTTCTAATTCTGTTAACTTCATGTAAAAGGTTTTTTTTCCCCTTTATTGTAGGGATTTTATGGAGAAAGATTTGGAGAGGATGTGGTTGAAGTAATCAAGGACTCTAATCCTGTAGACAAATGTAAATTAGATCCTAACAAGGTAAGGCTGACTAGACACTAATGACATATAAGCGTATCTTTGAGATCCTCCTTATGATTTTGTTTGAGAAAAACTAAGTGATGATTTAGCAGTGATGAAATGAAGGACTTTTTCTTTTCCTAGGCATATATTCAGATTACCTATGTGGAGCCATACTTTGATACATATGAGATGAAGGACAGAATCACATATTTTGATAAAAATTATAATCTTCGTCGTTTCATGTACTGTACACCCTTCACTTTAGATGGTCGTGCCCATGGAGAACTTCATGAACAGTTTAAGCGGAAGACCATTCTGACTACTTCACATGCCTTTCCTTATATTAAAACAAGGGTCAATGTCACTCACAAAGAGGAGGTAAGTCCAAAAAAAAACCAAACCAGTTGCCATTGAGTCAGCTCTGACTCATGGTGACCCTTACGTGTGTAGAGTAGAACTGCACTCCACTGGGTTTTCGAGGCTGTGACCTTTTGGAAGCAGATCATCAGGCCTTTCTTTTGAGGCACCTCAGGTGGGTTCTAACTACCAACCTTTTGGTTAGTAGTCAAGCACTTAACCATTTGTGCCACCCAGGAACTCGACAAGTAGGGAAACAGGAATTAGTGAAATCAGTATATTGGTGCCAACAATGTGGATGTAACAGAAGATGTGTACCACCTCTCATATGTAAACATACTAGAACTTTACCCATTTTTGAGTCATCCATTTTTAACTTTTTTTCTCAGCCCCTAGTTCGCTCTCAGCTTATACTTTTTAAAACATTTTTAATGTTTTTTTTTGTTTTAAATCAATAGACTATTTTTTAGAACAGTTTGAGGTTTACAGAATACTGAGCAGATAGTACACAGAGTTCCCATGGATCTAGCCGCTTTCTCCCCGACTCATGTTGTTTTTAAGTGCCACTGGGTAAGTTCTGACTCGTAACAACCCCATGCACAACAGAATGAAACACTGCCTGGTCCTGCGCCATCCGCAGAGTCATTGCTATGCTTTTGCCCATTGTTGCAGCCACAGTGTCAGTCCATCTCGTTGAGGGTCTTCCTCTCTTTCACTGACCCTCTACTTTATCAAGCATGATGTCCTTCTCCAGGGACTGGTCCCTCCTGATAACATGTCCGGAGTATGTAAGACGAAGTCTTGCCATCCTTGCTTCTAAGGAGCGTTCTGGTTGTACTTCATCCAAGACAGATCTGTTTGTTCTTCTGGTAATCCATGGTATATTCAATATTCTTTGCCAACACCATAATTCAAAGGCATCAGTGCAGGCCTCGTATGCATATGAGGCAATTGAAAACACCATGGCTTGGGTCAGGTGCACCTTAGTCCTCATGGTGACATCTTTGCTCTTTAACACATTAAAGAGGTCTTTTGCAGCAGATTTGCCCAGTGCAATATGTCGTTTGATTTCCCCCCATTCATAGTTTCCCCTATTATTTATTAACATCTTCCATTAGTGTGGTACATTTGTTACAATAGATAAACCAATATTAATACATAATTATTAACTGAAGTCCATAGTTTACCTTAGGGTTCACTCTTTATGTTGTACTGTTCTGTGAGTTTTGACAAATGCATATCGTGTATTCATAATTACAGTATCATACAAGATAGTTTCACTGCCCTGAAAATCCCGTGCTTTACCTATTCATCACTCCCCCTGAACCCCTAGCAACAGCTAATCTTTTTATTGTCTCTCTGGTTTTGCCTTGTCCAGAATGTCATATAGTTGGAACTATGCAGTATGTAGCTTTTTTAGATTGGCTTCTTTCACTAAGCAATATGCATTTGAGGTTCCTCCATGTCTTTTTGTGGCTACATAGCTCATTTCTTTTTATCTCTAATATTCCACTGTATAGATGTAGCACGGTTTGTTTATTCATTCACCTTTGAAGGACAGCCTGGTTGCTTCCAATTTTGGCAGTTATGAATAGAGCTGCTGTAAACATTTGTGTACAGATTTTTGTGTGGACATACATTTTCAACTCATTTGCGTAAATACTTAGGAGTGTGAGTTCTGGATCATATGGTAAGACTATGTTTAGTTTTGTAAAAAACTGCCAAACTGTTTCCAAAGTGGCTATACCATTTTGCATTCCCATCATTAATGAATGAGAGTTCCTGTTGCTTGTCAGCATTTGGTATTGTCAGTGTTCTGGAGTGTAGCCATTCTAGTAGGTATATAGTGGTATCTCACTGTTGTTTTAATTTGCGTTTCTCTCATGACATATGGGAGTCCCTGGGTGGCACAAATGGTTAAGTGCTTAGTGGCTAAGTGAAAAGTTAGTTTGTGTCCACACAAAAGTGACTCAGAAGAAAGGCCTGACAACTCACTTGTGAAAAATCAGCTACTGAAAACTCTGTGGAGCACAGTTCTACTTGGATACACATGGGGGTCATCATGAGTCTGAATGGACTTGATGGCAACAAGTTTGGGTTTTTTTTGTCTTTTAATGACATGTTGAGCATCTTTTCATTTGCTTATTTTCCATCTTTGGTGAGCTATCGGTTCAGATCTTTGCCCATTTTTAGTTGTGTTTGTTTTCTTATTGTTTTAAGAATTCTTTGTATATTTTGGAAACAAATCATTTATCAGATATGGGTTTTGAAAATATTTTCTTCCAGTCTGTTTCTTTTCATTCTCTTAACAGTGTCTTTTGCAGACCAGAAGTTTTTTATTTTAATAAAACTTAACAATTATTTTTTCATGAATTGTTCTTTTGATGCTATATCTGAAAAGTTGTGGCCAAACCTAAGGACATGTAGATTTTCTTCTGTGTTATATTGTAGAAATTTTATAGTTTTACCTTTAGGTTTATGGTCCATTTTGTATTATTTTTTATTTTTTCCCATGTGTAAACCTTTTCTTGTTTCGTTATAATAGTGATCTCATACAATATTTATCCTTTTGTGATTGACTTATTTCACTCAGCAAAATGTCCTCCAAATTCATCCATGTTGTGAGATGTTTCACTGATTTGTTGTTATTCTTTATCGTTACGTAGTATTCATTGTGTGTACGAGAGTAAGTCAAAAAGTGTTGCTACTGGTGTTCCAGTTCATATATGGATGGGTTTATTCCCCCCCCAAAAAACTGTTTAAACATGTCTCTGCAGTTAGTGTATGGCTGTAGACAAGTTCTCTCAGTAATACACTTTTCTTAGTCTCATTAGGGTGCTTTAAAAAAAAGGATATATTTTGTGCCATGAAAAAAACGTGTTTTTTTTTTTAAATTGTACTTTAGATGAAGGTTTATAGAACAAACTAGTTTCTCATTAAACAGTTAATACACATATTGTTTTATGACATTGGATAACAACCCCACGACATGTCAACACTCTCCCTTCCCTATTACCAGCTTTCCTGTCCCCACCTGCCTTTGGTCCTTGTCCTGGGCTGTTGTGCCCCTTTAGTCTTCTTTTGTTTTATGGGCCTGTCTAATCTTTGGCTGAAGGGTGAATCTCAGGAGTGACCTCATTACCAAGCTGAAAAGGCTGTCCAGGGGCCATACTCTCAGGGTTTCTCCAGTCTGTGTCAGACCAGTAAGTCTGGTCTTTTTTTGTGAGTTACAATTTTGTTCTACATTTTTCTCCAGCTCTGTCTGGGACCCTCTATTGTTATCCCTGTCAGAGCAGTCAGTGGTAGCTGGGCACTGTCTAGTTGTACTGGACTCAGTCTGATGGAGGCCATGGTAGATGTGGTCCATTAGTCCTTTGGACTAATCTTTCTCTTGTATCTTTAGTTTTCTTCATTGTCCCTTGCTCCGAAAGGGGTGAGACCAGTGGAGTATCTTAGATGGCTGCTCACAGGCTTTTAAGACCCTAGACACGACTCACCAAAGTAGAATGTAGAACATTTTCTTTATAAGCTATGTTATGCCAGTTGAGCTAGATGTTCCCTGAGACCATGGTCCCCACAGCGCTCAGCCCGGCAATTCGGTCCCTCAGGGAGTTTGGATGTATCTGTGGAGCTTCCATGACCTTTCCTTGTACAAGTTGCGCTGGCTTCCCCAGTATTGTGTACTGTCTTACCCTTCACCAAAGTTACCATTTATCTATTGTCTAGTTAGTGTTTTTCCATCTTCACCCCATCCCTGTAACCATCAAAGATTGTTTCTTTTTGTATGTACACCTTTTCATGAGTTTTTACAATAGTGCTCTGATACAATGTTTGTCCTTTTGTGACTGACTTATTTCACTCAGCATAATACTCTCCAGATTCATCCAGGTTATAAGATGTTTCACAGATTCGTCGTTGTTCTTTATTGTTGCATAATACTCCATTGTGTGTACGTACCATAGTTTGTTTATCCATTCATCTGTTGATGGGCATCTAGGTTGTTTCCATCTTTTTTTTTTTTCTTGTAGGTTTTGTTTTTACTGAGACGTTATGTTTTTCTTCTTCATTTTGATGAGTAGGTTTGTTAACTTTCTTTGTGGTTACCGTGAAATTTGTTGTTTGCTCGTCTGTGGGCACGATACTTTTCACTTCCTTCTGTAATTGGCAGGGTCAGTCGCTCAGATATGGTACACCAGGGCAGGTCTAGCTGAAGACGAGTCGCTGGGATGAGTTGTTTGTGGCACTTACTGCAGCCACCAGGGCGGGTCAGTAATCCGTGCAGAGCAGGCTCCGGTAGGCTGTGCCTGTGCTGCTTGGTTGTGTCATGTTAAGCGCATGGTGCAGGTAGGCAGAATGGTGTGGGGTGGGGGAGATTGTGATGTGTGGAGCTAAGATGGGTATGGGAGAGGGGAGAGAGGAATAGGAGCCAAAAACATACAAACAAAAAAGAGTGCTAGGGTAGCTTGCCGTTGGAGTGGAGAGGTGAGAGACTATGAAATGGAGAAAAACAAAAAGGGGAAGAAGAATAAGAAAAAAAAGAAAAGAATGAATAAATAAAAATTAGAAAAAAGAACAGCAAAGCTCCTAGCGATCCCACTGGTGCCGTACGAGGTCTGGGGAAGTTGTTCCCAGGTGTTGCAGTACAGCCTGGCTAGAAGGCCTGGAGGAATTCAGCGCCAGGTATTCAGGGGACAGGAAGAGAACGAAGGTGTAGAGAGACGAGAAACTGAGTAATGAAGAAAGACAAAAAGGGGAAAAGAGGGAAAAAAAAAGCAAAACAAATTAAAAAAAAAAAAAAAGGAGAAGAACAAGAAAAGCCCCCCAAAAAACAGAAAAAAAAAAACCCCACAAAAAAAAAGAAATGCCTTCAGGGATCCCTCCGTGTGTCTGTGCAAGCTGCGGGGGTAGGTCCCAAGCTTCATAGCACTGCCCGGCCAGAATGGGCTCCCAACTCAAGAAAAGAAAAAGAAAACAAACAAACAGTTCAAAACAAACAAACAAACAAAAGCCCCGGGATCCCACCGGTGTGGCAGCACAGACTGGGATGCAGTTCCACACTCGAATGGAGCTCCGCAGCCCCCCAGGAAGAAGCAAAGATGGGGCACAGAGCCAGGTATTTGAGCGAAAGGAGGGGGAGGTGGTGAGAGGTAAGGAAGAAATCAAAAGAAGCGGATAAAAGCGACACCAGCAGCCAACAAATGGCACACGGGGAGTCAGCCAGTGCGGGCGGGTGGAATCCAAGCAGCCTGTGCTTCCTGGCCACGAGACTGTGGCCATGGGAAGCAGAGGAGGCCGAGTGGGGGTAAATAAGGGTGGGCGGTGGGAAAGCGTATACCGCCTATTACCGGTTGTTCTGTCTCCTCCGTGAAGCTGCTTTCTCATACCCCCTATTTGCTGGTCTCTGATAGGAGTCCAAGATGGCGGATCTGTGCTGCATTAGCTGATAGGGAATCTCTGGATGAACCTCTCCTCGCTCTCCGTTCTCTGTCAGTTTTCTCACTCCATTTCGTGCTTGGCTGAGTTCTTTATCTCTTCATTTGATGTTTTAGGGTTTCAGGATTGCTGTTTTCTCTGTTTGGCTTAGTTTTTCAGATCTTTGTTGTGGAGGGATGGCATGGTGCTTCTGCCTAGAGTGCCATGTTACCGGAAGTCGTAAGCATTTCTTCATGTGTTTGTTAGACATCTGAATGTCTTCTCTGGTGAAGTGTCTGTTCATATCCTTTGCCAATTTTTTAATTGGGTTGTCATTTTGCATTAATTTTTATAAAAGATGAAGAATCATTATCTAGATTTATATTTTTCATGTGGATGTCCCGTTGTTCTAACATGATTTGTTGAAAAGATGATTCTTTCTTTATTGAATTGCCTTTGCTCCGTTGTCAAAAATCAATTGACTGTATTTGTGTGGGTCTGTTTCTGGGTTCTTCATTCTATACTCTTGATCTGTTGTTGTGTTCTTTTACTAATACCATACTGTCTTGATTATTGTAGCTTTATAGTAAGTCTTGAAATCAGGTAGCGTCAGTCCTCCGACTTTGTTCTTCTTCTTACGTATTATGTTGGTTATCCTGGGTCCTTTGCCTTTCCATGTAAACTTTAAAATGAATTTACTGATACCCACAAAATAAATTGCTGGGATTGCGATTGCGTTGAATCTATAGATGAAGTTGGGAAGAACTGATATCTTAACAATCTTGAGTCTTCCTATCCATTAACATGGAAGAGGTTTTATTTAGATCTTCTTTGATTTGTTTTATCAGAGTTTTGTAGTTTTCTTTGTGTAGATCCTGTAAATATATTTTTAGGTTTATTCCTAAATTCTTCATCTTTTTTTATTGCTGCTAATGTAAATGGTGTTGTGTTTTTAATTTCAAATTCCAGTCATTCATTGCTGTTATATAGGAAAGCAATTGATATTTGTAAATTAGCCTTATATCCTTCAACCTTTGCTATAATAACTTATTAGTTCCAAGAGTATTTTTGTAGATTTTTTGGGGTTTTCTACATAGAGAATCATGTCATCTGTAAACAGACAGTTGTATTTCTCTTTTCCCAATCTATATGCCTCTTATTTCCCTTTCTTGTCTTGTTGCATTTGCTAGGACTTCCAGTACAATGTTGAATAGGAGTGGTTAGAGGGGACATTCTTGCCTTGTTCCCAGTCTTAGAGAGAAGGCATTTGGTTTCTCACCATTAAGTATGATGCTGACTGTAGGTTTTTTCTAGTTGTCCTTTAACAAGTTGAGGAAGTTTCCCACTATTCTGAGTTTGCTGAGAGTTTTTATCATGAATGGGGTTTGGGTTTTGTCAGATGCTTTTTCTGTATCTGTTGATATGATCATATGATTTTTCTTTAGCCTGTTGGTATGGTAGATGACATTAACTGATTTTTGAAAGCTGAACCAGTGTTGCATACCTGGGATAAATCCCACTTATTTATGGTATATAATATACTTATATAGTGTTGGATTCAATTTGCTAATAATTCAGCTTATGCTTTAAAAGGTTGGTTTTTTTCATTTAAGAATCTAAAGTTTGGAATTTTATTTTTAGATAAAAGTTTATAATTGGCCTCTCCTTTTTTTCTAGTTTTAATTTATTATATACAAAGCTTATTAAATAACTTTCCATCAGTACACTGACCTAATTAATAGGTGCTCTTTCACCCAGATCATCTTGACACCAGTTGAAGTTGCTATTGAAGACATGCAGAAGAAGACACAGGAGTTGGCATTTGCAACACATCAGGATCCAGCAGACCCCAAAATGCTTCAGATGGTACTCCAGGGATCTGTGGGCACAACAGTGAATCAGGTCGGTGCTTTCTGCTAGCACTGTGTGATTTAAGTTATAAATGGAATTTGGAATAACTTAATTATTGTACTTTACAAAGATCACAAATATGCTAAACCAGGTGAAAGAATATGTGTTAGAAGTAGTTGTAATATAATGAGGGTAAACTAAAAAACAAAAGTTTTTTTACTGTAATCTCAGTTATTAAGGTATTCACAATTGGCTTCAATACTATTATGCTTTTCTACCTATCTGCTGTTATCCTTTCTATTAAGAAAGAATTGATTGACTTAAAATGACCTTTCCTTACGAAGCTTGTACTGAAAGAATACCAGAAAGATGTTTACCTGTGTTTTATTGACTATGCAAAGGCATTCAGCTGTGTGGATCATAATAAATTATGGATAACATTGCAAAGAACAGGAATCCCAGAGCACTTGGTTGTTTACAGGAAGCTGTACATAGACCAAGAGACAGTCATTCGAACAGAACAAGGGAATACTGCGTGGTTTAAAATCAGAAAACGTGTGCATCAGGGTTGTCTCCTTTCACCATGTTTATTCAGTCTGTATTCTGAGCAAATAATACAAGAAGCTGGACTATATAAAGAAGAATGCGGCATCAGGATTGAAGGAAGACTCATTAACAACCTGCGGTATGCAGATGACACAGCCTTGCTTGCTGAAAGTGAAGAGGACTTGAAGCACTTATTGGTGAAGATCAAAGACTACAGCCTTCAGTATGGATTACACCTCAACACAAAACAAAAGTCCTCACAACTGGACCAATAAGTGACATCATGATAAATGAAGAAAAGATTGACATTGTTAAGGATTTCATTTTACTTGGATCCACAATCAACACCCATGGAAGCAGCAGTCAAGAAATCAAACGACATCTTGTATTGGGCAAATCTGCTGCAAAAGACTTCTTTAAAGTGTTAAAAAGCAAAGATGTCACCTTGAGGACTGAGGTGCTCCTTACCCAAGCCGTGGTATTTTCAGTTGCCTCATATGTATTTGGTAGCTGGACAAGCAGACCGAAGAAGAATTGATACCTTTGAATTATGGTGAAGAATGTTGACTATACCACGGACTTCCAGAAGAATGAACAGATCTGTCTTGGAAGAAGTGCAGCCAGAATGCTCCTTGGAGGCGAGGATGGTGAAGACTTCCTCTTACATACTTTGGACATGATATCAGGAGGGACCAGTCCCTGGCATGCTCAGTAAAGTAGAGGGTCATCGAAAAAGAGGAAGACCCTCAACAAGATGGATTGACACAGTGGCTGCAACAATGGGCTCAAGCATAACAACGATTGTGAGTATGGCGCAGAACTGGGCATTGTTTTGTTTTGTTGTACATAAGGTCGCTATGAGTCGAAACTGACTTGATGGCACCTAACATCAACAGCACTGAAAGAATGTGACCTAAAAAGGAGTGCTCATTTTCAGAGCTTTGCAGATGCATATGTGAACTCCCACTATCTTAGATAATCCTTGATATTATCTTTTCCAGATCTCCTTCACAATGAGTAGTGAGGATTAAACAAGTGATATGGAATCATTTTGAAAAATTTAATAATACGTAAACACAATGTATTGTCGTTATATGTGACTAGAAACCATCCCCAGTATCTCCTTTTAGTTGGTTCATTCAGATTATTTTGCTGATTATTTTAGGCCTAGTCTCAATCTTTGGAAATATTCCAAGGTAAGGGAAAATTCAGAAAGCTTTCAAGTAAGATTTCACATAATATTTCTTAACTATTTTTTAGGTTAAAGGAACAAAGCCAAAAAATTCTCTACTAAAACTGAAGTAAACACCCTAAGGTCTTTACCTCCTAAAAATGCACATGATTTGGAGGCTCTACCTTCGAAAGATACAACTTACTTGCAAAAGACCATCTTCTTCAAACTTACAGTGTCAGGAACATATTTAAAATACCAAGGGAAGCTGTATTAGCAAAATCAAGTCTGATGATCAGTGGATTGGCACATGTAACAGCCTGACAACTTTTACATCTAGGATGAATTAATGTAACCAATGCAAGAGAAACTGCATTAATGAACACGGTCCTTGAGCTCATATTCTATTTCTTTAAGGAATGAAATTATAAGAAGTTAATTTCAGTAGGCAAGAACAGAGATTTGACATTAGGAAAAACTAAAAACGTATTGCCAGAGTCTGTCTCTGAAGAGTTTTAATATAGGAATAGACATATATACTTATTAAGTGCAGCCATCCCAGCACTGGGAAAAATCATTTGGGTAAATTCAATCTTTGTGGTTTTAGAGAAGAAAAAAACACACTTCTTATTTTATTTTCTTATTTTACAGGGGCCATTGGAAGTTGCCCAGGTTTTCCTATCAGAAATACCCAGTGACCCAAAGCTCTTCAGACATCATAATAAACTGCGACTCTGCTTCAAAGATTTTACTAAAAGGTATTCAAGGCTTCCTGCGTAAAGATCTTCAAATTGAAAATGTTCCATGCTACAGTATGGCATAAGGGTCTTAAGGGACCATTTAAAGACAAAATATAAGAAGTGGTTCACAAAGAGAAATAATTTATGTATAATTTACTATTCTTTAGTAGCAAATACTTATTCCCTCCCTACACACCCTTATTACACCATATTTTAAATTTAAAGATTAGAAAAACCAATGCTCAGGAATTTTTTGAACCTGTCAACATTATTAGACAATTTGACTTTAAGGCTGTTATTTATTATGAACCTTCAATATGTGAGTTTCCACTTCCTTTCCCTCAGGAAACATACAGATAACAAACTTGGAAGCAAAAGATCTGTGCTGAAATCCTGACCTATCATTGTATGTCCTTTTCCAGGTCACTTATTCTCTATGATCCTCAGTTTTCTAATCTGTAAAGTAAACATAATAATATCTACCTCCCATTAGGTGGTTTGGCAAATTAGCTGAAATAATACATGGGTGTGTTCAGGGTTCTCAAGTCTACCCCCAGGTTCAGTGAGTCACTAGGAAGACTAATAGAACTCAGCATATAGTTGTACTCATGGTAAATATTTATTACAGTGAAAGGATGCAAAACAAAATTGGCAAAGGGAAAAGGTGCATGGGGTGCAGTCTGGAGGAAACCAGGCATGAGCTTCCAAGGCTTCTCTCTTAGGGGAGTCATGCGGGATGTGCTTAATTACTTCAGCAAGGAGTTATGACAATGTGCAAAATGTTGTCTACCAGGAAGCTTATTAGAGACTAAGTGCCCAAGGTTTTTACTGGAAACTTGTCACACAGGCACCCTCTGCCTGACACATACCAAAACTGCAGACTCTCAGAAGGAAAGCAGGTGTTCAACATAAAACATATTATTTGTATAAACAGTTTAGCCACTCTTATCTATTCTGGGAATGATGGGAACCCTCCCAAAATCTAAATGCCCAGATACCAGCCAAGAGCCAACCTTGGAAGCAGGCCTTCCTAAGGATATCAGTCTCAGACCTGCTATGTTAACTCTTTTCTGCACAATGGGAAAATTTCTAGGCTAGTACTTGGTACAAAATAAATAGGTGTTAAATAAATTTTGTATCAGTGGGGGAAAATAGTCATTTATCAACTTGATTTTTGCCTTACTAGCATTATGTAAAACAGAGAATGTTTAATTCTACTTGACGATGTCAGGGGAGATTTCACACAGGAGTTGACGTTTGATATGGACCTTGGAGGATGAATATTAGTTTTTCAGGCTGAAAAGAGGTAATGAGTATCCCAAATAGAAAAGCATGAGAAAGATCAGAATCTGTTCTGGGAAAGACAAGTAGTCAAGTGAAGCTGGAACCATGGAATATATGAATAAAAGTAGTCAAAGAAAGACTGGAAAAGTAGATTAGGACCAGATTGAAAGGGCCCTACATACCATTAAGTAAAACACTTGACAGTCACCTAACAAAGCAGCATCAGAACGATAGTCAGAGCTCAGTCTTTGACTCCCTAGGAATTGTGGTTTCTCTTATAAAATCATTCATTGAATGGGTTTATTAGAGATGGAAATAATTTTACTTCGCATCTACTTTGTCATCAGAACAATATAGATAATGCTAATTTGTTCAAGTATTTTGAGATGGTATCTTCCTTGTTATTTCAATAGCTATCATGAATTGTTAGCAATTTCTCCTGGGTAAACATGGTAAACAGAATTCTGAGGTTTTATAATCTGATTATTGGACTAGATGGCCTTATAGAATTGGTCTTAGGAAATAACAGGAGACATAGCTCCTAATGTATGGAGTAGTTGAACTGTGGTAGTAGAAGAACAAAACCTGTTTCATACCTGTAGAGTTGACATATTTCTAGCATTAATCGTATTATTTGGGAGATTTCATAAAAAACAACAACAAAAAAAAAAACTCTGCTGTCTTTGTGAGCCAGATGATCTCAGAACAATACTTACTTCAGCTCATAGACATTTAGTAAGAGATAATCAGATACATCTTTTCTTGTTATTGTGTTAGAATATTTTACTATGACTGCAAATCTAAAAATGTATCTTCCTCTTTGTATGTCTTTGCTATAAGGTAATGAATTCCTGTAGTCAGCAGATTTCCTGACATATTACTGTCTATAAAGAAGGTTTTCCACCTTTAAATAAACAAAATAAAACCCCCCAAAAAACTAACCATCTCTCCCCCAAAATATATAAACCTTACAAAGAAGGTCATAGCCAATACTAAATTTTTATTTTTGTATACTGTCTTTCATTTTTTATACCAATATACAAATATATTTTACCATAGTTCAGTCTAATATACATATAACCTAAAAACATATTTTCCAATTAAACTATTATTGCACTAGTTATAGTATTTCATCAAGTTAATATGCTGTAAATTGTATTATTTGAATTTAATGTGGTGTAGTAGGCGCAAATGGTTAAGCACACAACTACTAGTGGAAAGGTTAGTGGTTTGAACCCACCCGGAGGCACCCAGGAGGACAGCCCTGGTGATCTGCTTCTGAAAGGTCACAGCTTTAAAAACCCTGTGGAGCAGTTTTACTCTGCACACATGGGGTTGCTATAAGTCGGAATTGACTCGACTGCAATTAACAACAAGTTAACACTACAGTGGATTTCTTTCGTTTGTTGAATTATTCCTTTAGGATAACGTTCCCAGCATGATATTACTGAGCCAAAGTGTATGAACATTTTCATTGGTTCTTACTATGTAGTGCATTCCAAAAAGGTTATAAGTATTTGCATTGCACAGAGTATGAAAGTGTACTAGTCTCAGTACACCTTGCTATAAGTAATGCTATTTAACTAGGGTGTCTTTACTAATCAGTTTTAAGTGGTACTCAGTTTGCATTTCTTTTTTTACTAAAAAAATTAATCATGTGTTTACTTTTTATATTTTTGGGTTTTGTCGTTTAAAATTTATTTTCCTTAAATATTGAATAGATTAAAATATACTTACAACATTTGCTATTGAAGAATAAGAAGACACAAAGTATGTCCCTACCCCCCAGCTTAAGAAATAGGGCATTATCATTACTTTGAGGGTCCCCTCCTAATGTATCTTTCTCTTATCTCATCTCCCTCCCTTCCTTCAGAGGTAATCACTATCCTGAATTTCATATTTATCATTTCCTTGCTTGTCTTTATAGTTTTATCATAAATGGATATATCTATCCCTAAAGTATATATTTAGTCTTGCTTGTTTTTTAACTTTATATAAATGAAGTCACTGTATATTTTCTTCTGTGACTTGCTATTTTCAATGTTTATGAGATACGTATCTGATAATAAGTGTTGCTGTAGTTCATTTATTTTCATATATTCCATTTTGTATGAATATGCCACAATTTATTCATTCTTCTGTTGGTAGGTAGTTTGGTTGTTTCCTGTTTGTTTGGGTTCTTTTTGGAGTTACAAACAATACTACACAAATAATCCTCTACCAATTTCTGTATGCACTTGTGCAAGAAGTTTTCTAGGGCTTATACCTAAGATTAGTGGTGCTAGTTCATAGGTTTGGCTTTATTGGATAATGCTACTTCTTTTTCCAAAGGGGTAAGACAAATTTATATTCCTGTCAAGTAGTGTTTGAGAGAGTTCCTGTTGCTGTGTATCCTACCAGTACTTAATATTGTCTAAGATTTTAACTTTTACTGATCTGGTGGGTGTGAAATGATAATGTGACTGTGGATTAAATTCTCATTTCTCTGATTACCAGAGAGGTTAAACATGTCATGTGTATATTAGACATTCCTATTTCCTCTTCTGTAAAGTTACATGTTCAAGCTTTTGCCATTTTCTTACAGGATTGTCTTTTCCTTACTGATTTCTAAGAGTATTTATGTATTCTGGATATCAGTGCTTTATCACTTATAAGTGTGTCATAAATATTTTCTCTGAATTTGAGGCTTATCTTGTTACTCTTTTGTTTATAAATAGAAGTTGTTAAGTTTAATATAGTCAGATGATTCAGTTATTTCCCTTATGGCTAGTACTTTTTGTGTCTTGTTTAAATTATTTTTTACTCTGAGGTCACAATGATAGTCTACTATATTGTCTTCTCAAAGTCAATATAATGATACCTCTAAAAATCAATATAAAGAGGAGAGAGTTACAAAAATCTTACTTTCTACCTTTTTTTAAATTCACTTGCATTGATTTTTGTGTATGGTTCAAGGTAGAGATCCAGTTTGAATTTTGTCCATACTGATAGCCAGTTATCTCAGTACCATCAGTTGGATATGATATGAGGTAGGGGTCAGGTTTCTTTTCCCATATGGATAGCCAGTTGACCCAGCAGCATGTATTAGAGCTTGTCCTTCCTTCACTGCTTTGCAGTATCATCACCATCATAAATCGAGTGCCCATGTTTGTGTGGGTCTTTTTCTGGGATCTCTGTTCTCTTCATTGCTCTATTTGTCTCTTCTTGAGCCAATATCATGCTGTCTTAGTTAACATAGTTTATAAGTAAGTCTTGATATCTGATAGAGCAATTCCTCCCACCTTATTCTTGCTCAAAGATTATTTTTTGCCCTTTACCTATCCATATAAATCTTAAATTGTAGAATCAATTTATCACTCCTTACCCAGTAAAAAAAACCCTAAAACTATAGATCAGTGGAAAGAGAATTGACATTTTTATAACTTTGACTCTCCCAGTTCTTGAATATGGTACATTCCTTCATTTACTTAGATATTTTAAATTTCTTTATATTGTTTTAAATTTCTGTGTTGGCCTTTACATCTTTTCATTTATTCTTAAGTATCTGATACCTTTACGCTTTTGTATATGGTTTCTTTTAAAATTATATTTTCTGTTTGCTGGTTTACAGAATTACAGTTGAGTTTTGTATATTGATTTTAATCATAGCATTGCTAGACTCACTTGTTAGTTGTAATAATTTATCTGTGGAATCTTTTTATTGTCTTTTAGTGATGATTAGGACCTCCAGTACTGTGTTGTACAGGAAGAGTGATAGAGGGATCATTTTCTAGTTCTTGATCTAAAAGAAAATGTTTTCACCTTTGAGTGTATTTGCTACAGGTTTTTAGTAGATATTTTCCATTAGGTTAAGGAAGTTCCCACCTATTTGTAGTTATGCTAACAGTTTTTATCATGAAAAGTTTTTAAATTTTATCAAAATGCTTTTTCTGTATCTCCTTTGATCTTTTAATATTGTGAGTTACATTTTTGATTTTCTACTGTTAATTCCACCTTTCATTTATTCCAGGGATAAACAACTTGGTCATGGTGTGTGTGTTTAATACATTGAACAATTTCCTATTATCTATTTCCTATTTTACAACTCTTCATGACTGAGATTGAATTATGATTTTTCTTATAGCCCTTGTTAGGTTTTGGCATCCAGCCTTGATAAATGGGATGAGAACTGTTCTCAAGAATAGTTGTCTGCCACCGCCCGCCCCCGTACTCTGGAATAATTTTTTAATATATTATCAAATAATTGTGCTACATTGAGATTATTTGTCCCTGGGTATTTAGTAGAACTTGTATGTTGGTATTTTCTTTGTGGATAGATTTGTGACTTCATTGATTCAACTTATTGAATGGTTTTAGGATTATTCGTGAGGGTGTGGTTTTGTTTTTTTTTTTGTCTGTTTTGATATATTAATTTATCTAGAAAAGTATAATTTCAGATTTGCATTAAATTGTACATAATATCTTCTCTTTTAATCTCTGCTATATTTGTAGTTATGTTCCATTTTTAATTTCTAATAGGAGATACTTAGGCCTCCCATTTAATCTTGCTAAAAGTTAGTTTTTTGTGTTTTTTTTTTTCCCGAAGAACCAATTTTTGCATTTTTTTATTCTATCGTATTTTCAGAGTTAATTAATTTATTTTCTTCCTTATACTGCAAGTTTGTTCTGTTCTTTTAAGTTGCTTAGCTCTTTAATGTTAGCCCTCTTTTGTAACATATGCGTTTAAGGTTATACATTTTTCTCTAAGCATCATTTTAGCTGCCTTCCACAATTGTTGATATATATAGTTTTTTCACATCCTGTTATCATTTATCTGTTTGAGTCCTGATATTTTTCTTAAATATTTGAATAAGTCAGAGAAAGGATTGTTACCAAGATCCATTCATTTAAGAAACATTTGGACACAGATAAACAAAGCACTGTGCCAGATGCAATTGGTACTGTTGGCACCAATGAATATTATTACATCCCTTAAAGAGCTTCTAGTCTGTGGGCAATATGTGAAGGGGGAGGGGGGCTTCGGATTACATATTAAAAAAATAATTTGCAATTAAATGAAAATGGTAAGTGAATGTTTATTTAAAAAAAAAAAAAAAAACTCAGTTGATTATTTGTTCCCTACCTTACACCTAAACCAAAAGAAGATATTTAACATTCAGCTGAAACTGAATGTGCTCATCATGATGAATATATATATATAGCACTAAACCCTCAGACTAGGCCAAAAGAAATCTTTTGATAACAAACTGTTTTTCCTAGGTGTGAGGATGCCTTAAGAAAAAATAAGAGCTTAATTGGGTCAGATCAAAAGGAATATCAAAGGGAACTGGAGAGAAACTATCATCGCCTTAAAGAGGCCCTGCAGCCTCTGATAAACAGAAAGATCCCTCAGTTATACAAGGCAGTATTGCCTGTCACCTGCCACAGGTATGCTTATATTTCTATTATTTTAGAGATCTTTAAAAATGAAATCTACTTGAATTACTTTTTTGAGTCGTACTTGTACTTTTCTTATTATTACATAGATTCAGATATTGTGTTCCCTAAACAAATTCAACTAGTAAAGCCATTTATTAGCTATATGTTAACTGATCTACAAGATAAAAGTTAGTTGTAATTTGAGAATCATAAATTTGCATTAGCACTCATAGTAACCAGAATACCACACATAATAAGCCTAGCCTTCTAAAACTATTCCTTTTAAACTTCTGTCACTTTTAAACTTTGTGGCACTTTTGTGGAAGAAATCACTGGAATGCATCAGGCACCAGGCATTCATTTCCCTTATCCATGACCGTAAATATTATACAGTATGTTCTTCTAGATTTGTACTGAAGCAGGCAACCTTAATGAGTATCAAGAGGGCTTCAGTATTTTTCTCCACTTTCTAAGTATGACAAATCAAATCAGAAATAGAAATAACTTGCAATTTTCTACAACTGAAATTTTCTACAACTTGAAATTTTCTCAACTTCTACAACTAGAATCCTAGTTCTACTTGAGCAGGTAATTTAATTTTTAGATTTTTTCCTCTGTATAATGAGATGATAGTATTTACCATGAAGAGTTGTTGTGGAGATTAAATGACATTATGGATGTAAAGTTTCTAGGTCAGTGCATAACATTTCACTTCTCAGCACCTGAATTCTGGAAAAGGCATACTTGTTAAAAGTAAACCATCTTTTTTTGCATTTTAAAACCAAAATGTACATACATCTGTTGAATTATTGTGGCACTGATATTTTATCATCATTTTCTTTGAATTAATAATAGTAAAGCTATTAAGTTATAATTATCTGGTAAATTAATATTTGTAAGGCCTTTGAAGTTGCTTATATGAAAAGTGTTGATACACATGGTATACCATACTGGAAGACAAAGTTAAACTGGCTATTTAAGTCACCTGGGAATTAGTCCCTGCTCTTCAGGAAACCCTGGTGGCATAGTGGTTAAGAGTTCAGCTGCTAACCAAAAGGTTAGCAGTTCAAATCCACCAGGTGCTCCTTGGAAATCCTACGAGGCAGTTCTACTATGTCTTATAAGGTCGCTATGAGTTGGAATCAACTCGACGGCAACGGGTTTGGGGTTTTTTTGTTTGTTTGTTTCTTCAGTTAATCAAGGAGCCCTGGTGGCACAGTGGTTAAGTGCTTGGCTGCTAACCAAAAGGTCGGCGGTTCGAAGCCACTAACCACTTCACTGGAGAAAAATGGGGCAGTCTGCTTCTGTAAAGATTTACAGCCTTGGAAACCCTCTGGGGCAGTTCTACTCTGTCCTGTAAGGTCTCTGTGTTTCGGAATTGACTCAACAGCAGTGGGTGGGTTCTTCAGTAATCTAATATTTCTGTACGTATAGACCTCTGAAAAACTCATTTATTCACACATTCATTCAAAAAATGTTTACTAAGTTTCTGTTTGTATGTCAGCTGTATGATAGATGCTGAGGATCAGTATGAATGAACAACACAGACATGGCCTCTGCTGTCACCAAGCTCAGTCTGGAGGATAGATACAAATAAACAGGGAATGATATAATGAGCATATAATGGTAGAAATGCAGGGTGCTAATGGAACACATAGGAAGGAGGCACTTAAATCTAGCTTGGGGTATTGTCAGGAAAGTCTCCTTGGAGTAAATGAGATTGGATACCTGAAAGATATCCCAAGGTGGGGATGGGGAGGCAGGAGTAGGCGCATAGGGGATGTGGGTGGGTAGTTGTTCATAGTAGAAGAAAAAGGAAAAAAGAAAAGGTATGAATTTAATGAAAATTGTCTTAACTAAATTAACCTAGTTGCCTGTATTGACTGTGATAGTGCTTATTTAGTTGATCAGATACTTTAGAGTAAAAAAATGAACAGTACAGTTGAAATGCACAATTTCAACTCAGAGATGTAAAAATTCTGTATGAATTTCCTCATGATTGTCCATATCCGATCGAGAGGACACTATGGTTTAAATTTGGTAATAAAAATCTTTTAGTCTGCCTCATCCAATTTCAGGTTCAAATGTCTTATCTTGCTTCTGGTTTTCTCCAAGTCTCCCTTACCCTTCCTAAAGCATTTGAATGCAGGGGAACTTAAGTTAGATGTGCCTAGGGGAGGCAGGTCAGTAATGGGTGCTGACTGCATGCTCCTACTCATCTCACCAGGAACTTCTCAGGAAGTTCACTTCTGCCTCTAAGCAATGTCTTGCTCCTTTATGATGGTGACTCCAGTGGCAGGCCAGTTTGGCTCAGTTGTCAGCTGCCTTTCATGTTCCCCACAGAGAGCATATAGATCACCTGAATCTCTTCCACAATTTATGAGACACCAAGAAACCAAAAACTTGTTCTGTTGATTCTGACTCACAGTGACCCTATAGGACAGAGTAGAAGTGCTCCATAGGGTTTCCAAGGAGCAGCTGGTGGATTAGAACTGCTGACCTTTTGGTTAGCAGCAGAGCTCTTAACCACTGCACCACCAGGGCTCCAGAGAGCCCACAGTGTATTTTAGGCTCTCTCTCTGCCAAAACATGATTTGCTTCCACCACTCTGTACTGATGGGAAATACCCTATAAGGTGGTTTCCTCTCAGAATTCCCAATGGGAAGTAACACTCTATCCTCTCCACGTTTTTCTCTGCAATATTTCTGGAATTTTTGCTTTCTTGCTGCCTCTGCTCCCCTCCCTCAATCTCGTACCCTTACTAGATCAGTGGTTCCAGAAAGCAAAGATGCCAGGTCACTGAGGTAGTCAGGCAGTTTTCTAATCCTAGTCTTACTTCCTACGGATATCTCCAATTTCTTTCAGTGGTAAGGCTGTATTCTTCCTAACTGAAGGAAACTTTCCCTTATACTGTATTCTGAGTTTTTCCTCCCGCTATGAGCTACTTTATGGTCAGTTCTCCAGTTCTTAATATTTGCAGGGAATTTTTTTGGAATTTAGAAGAACCCTTTTATTGCTTAACAATGTCTGGCTTTCAAGACAGTTTTCTCTGGAACCAAAAGGGCAAGCTGAATATGACCTCTTTGTACCTGCCCTTTTTCTTTCCTGGTGATTGAAAGCCTCGTTGCTTAACCTTAATGGCAGGATGGGTAAGCAGAAGAAACCAATTTAAGGATAAAGGAAAATACATTAGGAGATCATTCAGAAGTATCCCCTCTACCCTTAACTTCTTCAAATTTAGAAAATAAAAATTGCTTGGAGTTTTTTATTTTGCTGACCTACAAAACCAGGAAGATTATTTCACAGTAGGATTATAGGTATTAAAACAGTGGTTTGTTCTTCAAGTGTGATCTGGGACCCTTGGGGGGTGTCCCTGAGGTCAAAACTAATCTCATTAACACCAAGATATTATTTGCCTTTTTCATTCATTCTCTCAAGAAGGTACAGTGAAGTTTTTCAGAGGTGATACTGCAAATGATTGAATGCAGATGTAAGAATCTATCTTCCATTAAGCCAGATATTAACTATGTAAAAGTGCCACTCTTCTAAATTTTTTACAAGTTATTTTTAATAAATGACATTATTTTTAATAATGCATAGTGGGCTAATTTTTAAAATGAATTAATATTTTAAAGTTTTTTTAGTCTTAATTTTTAATATGACAGATACCGATATATAACCCACCTATATAAACAAAAGCTTTCTGGGGTCATCAACTTCTAAGAGTGCAAAAAGGACCTGAGACCAAAAAGTTGAGAACCACTGGTTTAATACTTAGAATTTAATATTTTAAAGAAACACTTGCATTTTTTCCTTGTGACAGCCCCCAAATAAATCTTTCTGAAATCTCTTCTATTATCCTTTAGTTCCTTGTCTTACCACAGTATGTGCAGCATTTATTAGACAAATGAATAAATGATAAGGGATTTCACAAAGTGGTTACTGTAATACATTTTGTAAATGCCCCTCATAGAGAAATCTATAAACCAGATTATATAAACCAGAATATGCAGAATGAACATCTAACTTGAAAGTTAATAGGAACTGGTGGCAAAACTTTAACACAACTTGGAAGCAGAAAACCATGTAAAACATTTTAAATGATTATGTAAAAATTTACTTATAATCATATCCTCTTCATTTTTTCCCCAGAGATTCCTTCAGTCGAATGAGCCTTCGCAAAATGGATCTCTAAAATAAAAGCACTTGTTTTATTCATTTGAAAAGAACCATGTATTCAACTTTTGAGTGTGAAAAGTTAAGATCTATTGAAAAAGAAGACTTGGGACTTAATTCTGGAAATTATAGCATTAATTTATTCATTGAAGACTGCAGTGGCCAAAATGGTATCAAATGTAGACTGTTAAAAAGTTTGAGAATTATGGCTGTGGTTTCTAATGTTCTGGTAATATGCTGTTACCCTTTTAAAAGACATTTTAATGACTCAAAGGTACATTATACATTTACCATTATTTATAGTATAGCTAATGTTAAATTTAGTTTAAGTTCATATTTTTTAATTTATATTACCATTTATAGATTCATTTTGGAACCATTTTAAATGTAGTAATGCTTATTTTAAAGGTACTATTAAATATGTGAATGTTTACACTAATTTTACTGAGTGGGACTTTTAAAATTTTACCTTATTGACAGAGGTAGAGCGTAAGTTAGAGTCGATTCAAGAACTAGTTCCAATACTAGCAAAATGAAAATCAAGATACTTTATTAGCCCAAAAATAAATTTATGAATGAATAGATGGAGATAGATAAGGGTAACTGGTTTGTGGAGACTTAGAGCTGGTTTCTATTTTCCATTTAGAGACCCCAAAAAGGATAATTAAGAATAAATTGTAGGAATAACTTTACCTAATAAAACTTTTGTCTGTAAATAATGATTAAATACTGGAATAGCTAATATTAGTGACAGTAGCCTGATCTTTCTGACTCTCAACCTTATTAAGCCAGTGTCAGCAGTATGAACTTCATGACTCTGAGCAACTAACATGAGTCCTGTTCCAAATTAAACAAGGCAGTTAAGTTACTAATGATCGAAGTCTGTAAGTCAGAAATCTACTTTAAAGTTATTTTGCATCACATAAAGGTAAGCTAGAGATTGTCAGTTGAATGAGAAGTTAGATGTGTAGATTTTACAAAGAACATACAAAAATTAAAATTACCTGCTTTAATCAAAATAACCAATTCATTTACAATTTTAACTATAATATGAAAAATGCAGAAAATGTTTGAGAAATACATTTCAGTTTCCTGTCACGTTTTCCCAAGATATAGTACACATTAATGATTTCTGCTAGTCTTTGAACAATGGTTTTTTTCCTTCATATACTACTGTAACTTATAGAATGATGCCATCATTTATCATCTGTCCCTCCCTTTGATCTACTGATCAAAGTTACATGAATCACTTAAGAACTGGTCAAATTTAATACAGTGCCTTCATTGTACAGTTGTAGAGACAAGGTTTCAAAAATGTCTGATCTTCCTGATATCCCCACTTCTAGCCTACCTTTATAATGGGTAATATTATCTTGAATCCTTATCTACAGCAATTCAAAGACTGTGAATCACAAAGAGGTTTTTCAGACAACTATACAGTATTAGACCAAAAGGTAGTATCTCAGGAGTCAAAAGGGCATAACCTCAAAAATCTATTTGGGGAAAGATGATCCAAATGAATAAGGAAAGGTAAGGAATCAAGAATGGAAACTCATTTTTTTTTTTAAAAAAAGGTGACATATGTATATATACTCTCATTGGGTTGGAGGGACAGGTATACACAAGGGAGAGATTAAGTAGCCTGGTTGCTTCTCATTAGGTTACACCGATCTAAGAGTTTGTTTTGCACAAACCTCAGTGACAATATCAAGGACTTTAAGATTTATACAATTATCATGCAATACCAATTATTTTCTGAGTCAAAATAGTCTTACTCTTAAAATAAAAACATTGGTAATAATACTGAACACTTCATAACTTCTCATGTACTTCAGTTTTCTTAAAATGTAAAATTTCTCCTATCAGCAATTATTTATTTATACTAATGGTTCTTAACTGTGGCTATCTCTTATTATAGAGGCCTAGACTGTATCCTAAACTTTATGGATAGTGCTCAGGGCTGTGTTTATTTAAAAAGCTCCATTAGTGATTCGGAATGTAGAAAGGAGTGAAAAGCATCTTGTAGAAGAATGGTGTATTATGTAACTCTGTAATTTAGTTGACATAGCACTCTTTTATTTGTTGAAATGGGATATAATAATATTCCAATAGCATTTATACACTCTTTAGAATTATTTTTAAGATATCCTTAATATGTCATAATTGATCACTTACCAATTTAGTGTACTATATTTAAAATGAAAATTTAACCAAGTTTTTATGTGTGCCCAAAGCATCATCTTAAGTTCTCCTGTTCTGGAGTTCCTAAAGTTAGATATCTACTTTAAAGGACAACTAAAACATGAGTTTTTACTGTAAACGTCTTTTAAGTGTGACAGCTTGGATGAACTAAGCACAATTTCTCCTATTTGAAAAATTCTTCACCTCCACTGTCAGAAAGTAATGAGTATTAAAGGTAATTATGCATGCTTATTCTCTTTTCTATATATATGAATATAAATGTGCATATACATACATAAATACATATTCTGTTCTTTAAGAGAACCCAGATTTATGGTAGAAATATGCAAGTTAAAAAAAAATTAGAGCATGTGTATACAGTTGTTAAGCAGTTTAAATTTTATTGACCTCCCAGTTTTTAAAAAAAGTTAAATTTAAGGTCATACCTCTAAGTTTGATGTACTATATACAGATCGTGCAGAATATGACTATGAAGAGATACAAATTAATCCATGCCCAAAAAGATTTACTAGAGTACAGAATCATCTTCATAAATACATATAAAATTCTTCTGAAGGTAGGGGGGACTGTCCAGGTTTTCTGAGACACTTTTCAAAGTGATTCAAGGCACAAAATGAACACCATTGTGAATATACACATTCTAGACTCTCTGTGCCTCTAATAAAGCCCATCAAAGATTTGGCATCACAAATTATAAAACTAAATGTACTGAATGAGATTCTGCCTCTTAGCTGGAAAACCACAGCACCTATAAACATGTATATAATTACTCCAAAATATGGAGAATACAAATACAAGTACTTTATTTTAAAAAGCAAACACAAAAGATAGATAGGTGTAAATTCAAAAGTGTTCAAATGCTTCCATTTTAGATAATTCATTTAGAATTGTATACAGGTTTGTTCCCAGAAGCTAATGTATCACTAGTCTCTAGTAAGGAAAATGAATGCTAAAAATTTACATGGTTTTCAGTAATTCAGATTTCACTATATAAAATCTAAAGAGACCAATAATATCCAGTATCTTCAAAAGATAAGCTAAAGACTCTTTGATGTAATTAACTTTACCAATGTTTGTCCAGGTCTGTTTAATATATACAAGGAAAATACACTTGCTCTATAATTTCTTATAAAATAACAAGTAAGGAGTAGATGTAGGAGATGTAGAAGGGGAAAGAGAATTCAAAAAGTCCTTCTCTTCAGTAACTTTCACTTCAGAATCATCAAAAAGCAACCACTTCCCCTCATACTCCTTTAAGCTTTGCACTACATATGAAATTTTATTCTCGAATCCACTAATGTTAATGCCTGTTTGGTCACTGGATTCCTTGTTGTTATCAGATTCATGGGTCCCTTTAGCTAATAGTATTAGTCTCGGAATTTCGACTTTCAGCAAATGCTGTGCCAGCAACCTTATCAGGATTAGATGCTTTGTTGTATAATTCATAATCTGCTTTGCTCTTTTGTCCTCCAAGAAGTCCAATAGCTTCTACATTTTTTTTGTTTAAAACTTTATTTGGCTGTGTATTTCCACTGACTCTAACAGACACTTCTTCATCTTCATAATTTTCAACCACACCCCTTGCTTCCTCCTCATTCAATGGTTCGGGCTTACCTATTTCACATACTTGATCTACCATAAAATTTCCTTTATCTAGTTCTAAACTGTTAAGGTCAGTGACTTTAACAGAAGCAGTGTAATGCCCACTACTAATTGTAATGCCACTATGCATCACAACTGCAAATAATCCATAGCTGTCGTTGGTTGGCTTTGTGCTCCATTCTTCTAGTGACAATTTTAGGGGTGTCAACAAAGGAGTGTTGATCTTGGAAAGTCCACCACCATAACAATCAAACCTTTGGAAATAAAAAAAAAAAAAAAAAAAAGTTTTCTGTGGTTCCAATTTTAAATATATTGAAAGTGTCATACCCCAATATGAAACCAACTAAAAGTCTAAATGAACCCTTATTTTTAGTGCTCATATGAATAAACAAAAAATCAGAATAGAAAACAAGCCCCCAACTTTGTGTAATATTTATTTTGCACAGAAAAAGCATGTTGCATTAACTCCTAATATTCAGGTGTCTCTGTGGAGGGTATATATAGCATTTTCCCCTTTTATTTTCTTAATTTTGTACCATAAGAAAATAACAAATGACATTTTGAGAAAACAATGAACTTCAAAAACAAACTCCTATACATTTTAGTATATCATTTTAAGTTTTTTTCTACCAAGATTTGGGAACAAAAATTAATAAAATAGTAACTGTATCAAAGAAAAGTCCACTGAAAAAACGGAAGACCATATGTCACCATTTGGTACAAAGTGTGGAGTTACTGGGAAGCTCTCACAGTAATTTCAAGGAGCCCTAGTAGCACAATGGTTAAACGCTCAGCTGCTAACCAAAAGGTTGGCAGTTTGAACCCACCCAGCTGCTCCACAGGAGAAAGACAAAACAATCTGCTCCCATAAAAACTATAGCCTAGAAAACTCAATGGGGCAGTTCTACTCTATCACATGGGCTCACTATGAGGCAAAATCGACTCTACAGCCTAACAACAGAGATTTCAACCAAGTCATTAATATACCAAGGGAGTAAAATGTACAATGATATTATGTGTATGTATCAGAAAAAGAGTATCCATAAAGTAATAAGCATTTTTATACTTATTTTTAAGTAACTTCTAAAATTTAGAATTTAATGCTCATCTACAGATAAAAATTTCTAAAACTGTTCAAAGATCACTTTGATTTTCTGGTTTACCTTAAAACTAATTTTAAAAGAAACCTGCCTTTTCCCCCTTATAAAATTTTATACACACACAAAATTTTAATGTATATAAAATTTGTTCCCTGTTTTAATCAGTTCTAAAATTGAATTCAGCCACTAGAAAAAAATCATACTTGCTAGACAATCTTTAAAAATGCTACACGAAAAGCGTTCTCATAGCTACTAAATAGAATATGTATTCATATCAAAAGGATTTAAATTGATTTATTTTTAAAGGGAAACTCTTAATAAGAGAACAAAACTTTTCTAAGGCAGTCTTTACAAAGTACTTAATTTTAGTACTTTATGTTCCTGCTGTTATTTTGAATAAAACTTCTTATATAGCACTCATTTTCTTCAAATATCTTTTATTTACAATACTCACTCCAAGCCACTAGCAGCAAAGCACTTCAAATGAATAGTTATAACTTCAGGCATTTTGTCAAACAAAAGACTTCGTTCAGCTTCAGTATAATGATGGCAGTTTTCACAGAAATATTTATCTTCTCCTACAATCCTCTCCACTGAAGCAAACTGTG